TTTTTTTTTTTTTTTTTTTTTTTTGAAAAATGGAACAATGTATCCTGAAAGTGCCACTGGCCAAATATGTGTCTCCCAGTAGCAGAACTCAGAACTTATGTATCTGGATATTATTGTGCTGGCGGGTCATGTGGCAGGAAATTGCCAACAATCAGGGCGGGCCTAGTTATGGCAATCAGCAAAGGATCTGCTTCAGAGTCAGTTATGATACATACAGTTTATGATCATCCCGTCGTATCATGAATGAGAAGCAACATTTCACAATAGGATGTGTCGACTCTGAGCTCGGGTTCTTCAGAGAGCATGCCGTCAGGAGAGTCTCGTGCGCCGGATCAAAAGCAATCGTGCCGAACTCTTCCCAGTATCGCACCATTGACTCCTCTGTAAGAATCTCGTGCAACGCAATTTTGCCCTAGAGTGAGTGAGGGTTAGCATTCATCTCCAATAGGCCCCTGCGTTTTGTTTGACACCCAGGTACAGTCACAAGACGGTGCAGACGAAGCAGGACTTACATCTCTTAGTTGCGCTACTGACACGCCAATCAATTCTGCCATTTCCTTGTTGCCCCTGAAGATTTCACCAGTTCTTCGCCAGCAGCACGCAGGGACGGCCATACTAGCAAACACCCGGTCATAATCCATGAGTTGTTTCTCAAACCACATCTCGACGTACACAAGTTCCATATCCGTCAAGGCCTGTGCCTTTTCTCGGAACTTAGGCCGGAACTGGTTGATGGTTTTTACGATCTTGGCTTTTGACGATGCTGCGATGTGAGAGTCTAGGTATGTACCCAAGCGAGTATAACCATTAATGTAGTTGAACGGCTTGAGTAATCCGGCGTCGTACTTGGCCCTAAGTACACGTTGCATGCGCTCCTCAGGCGTGTCGTTGCCCGATGGATCCGCTGCTTGGAGATAGTATTCGCGAGCCTTGTCGACGGGCACAACACTTCCCGGTCGTGGAATGTTCTTGCCTTCTTTGTTCGGAGGGGGTGGCAGCATTGATCCCGACAGGTTTGGCATGGCGTTTGGACCACCAGCAGTCATGGAGTTGTTGTTGTTATTGCTTCCAAACCTGGGTAGCATCTCCGACTGGCTCTGGCTTGACCTCTTGAATGCCGAGCTCTGTTGGTCTTCTGACGACACGCCGCCGTCATCGAGTAGACTTGTATGAAGAAAGTCGTTGAGAAGGTTGAACTCGTGAGTGACTTCCGGGGCAATCATGTAGTTGGGATGGTAGCTGTGCATATCATGAAAATGGTTTTGTGCTGTCATCCACGCATCTTGGAAACCTACGACTAAGTGGCGTGTCAGCGATCTCAGATCAGGAACAGATTCCTGGGCGCCCCCAAGCTCAGCCCACCTGTGCTCCGCTCGTGAGTAAAAATGGGAACAAGGGGTAGGCCCCTCCCAGGGCAGGACATAGGGATACAGCACGTACATTGGTTCGCGTTACTACTGCTGCCGTTGTTCAACTCATTGCCCTGCACCCCCGAGACCTGGCCGGGTTGCACAATGGACAGCGGGCTACCTTGACCCAACACTCCACCACCAAAAGATTTGGACCCTCGATGTCTCGTCGTGTCAAATGTAGGGGGAGGTGGGCCCATGGTGCTAGAGATGGAACTACGAGCCATATCGGATTGTGCGTCCGATTCATCAACTACAGACGGTGTCTGTATGCTCTGGGCGCTTTGGACACTTTTCGCCTTCTTAGAGTCGACATCGCGAGGCTCATCGTGACAGAGATGGCCAATATTGCGCTTGATGCATCGAGTACATGGTCTCTCCTATTCATAGCATCAGTGCATGCGTGGCTTTCACGGTGTAGAAAGGCCCTCTCCTGGAAACCAGAACACAGCAGCTGGCGGCTCAAGTATACCGGCATGGTTTCAGAAGAGATAGCAGGGAAAGTCCAGGGTCCTACTCACAAGATCGCAAGTCATATGCTGGAAGAAACAGAGTGTCAGCTACGGTTCTCTCAACGCTTGAGTATGCAAGGCATGGGTCAACAAAGTTGACTCATGGGCGCCGTGCCGTCACACGAAAGTGCATTTGACGAATGGAACGACTTCTTGGAGCGCCCAAGGCTGCCCAAGGCTCAGAAGAAGCCAATGCGAACGCGCGTCGTTGATTTTGGGGGTGACTTACAGATCTTCGACAATATACGCAAGCTGTGATAATGCCCCAGCAGTCAGCCCAAAGTTTCTTGTCTAACATGAATGTATGCGCCATGATAACACTTGTTGCCAGGATTGGGAGTTAACATGTTGACAGCCTGGCGGATTGATTGGTCGTAACCTGAGACTCTTTTGATCACAACTATAATGAGGTATCCCAGGATCATGACGCTCACTCCCAACCCCAATGCGGTTTCTCCCACGGGCGCATGGCGCTGAACAACAAAGACCTATTCAGGCAAGGGGATTCAAGTATTCAGAAACATACCATGATTGACCTTGCGTCTCTTTTTGGCAGGTGTCTTTTGGTTGCCTGAAGCGGCAGTATTCGAGCTCTTGTCGCGACTCACGGCCTTACCATCGTCACCTTTAGCGGCCTCCTGTTTGGCGCTCTTACCCGCGGTAGCAGCATTCCGGTCGCTCATTTTGTCCTATACTCCCATTGGATCTCAAGGTTACGCAGAGCGGCTTCGGGTTCGCAGATCATTTGCGGCTCACTGCAGCAGCTTTGTATAGTCTACAGCTCAACCGAAGCGACACGGTCCATGCGCACGTTTGTTGATGCGATTAAAATTTCCACGATTCTATGCGCGGTTCAAGTGCAGGTTCGTTGGCGATTCGTTCCGCAAATTCTCTTTGGCAGTCTCGCGCGCGCGCGCGAATTGGTCCGGTGGAGGGGGAGGGGAGATGGAAGGTGGCTACGCAGGTTGTGTGAGCCGAAACGGTCGAAAGGATATGATGTTGGCGAACAATAGTCCTGCGACGAGGTAGAAAGGGCGAATTGGTAGCTCAGCAGCCGGAGCTGGCTCAAAGAAGAGGTCAAAACTGGGGATATTAGATGCGAAAAGCAATCCGGTCGAAGAAGGCAAAAACACTGAAGAGGACCTGGACGGTGAAGTTTGGCCTAGGCTAAGGCCTGGGTCCGAAATAGGCTGGGCTTAGTATAACCAGCTACTGTGGACTGTGGACTGTGGACTGTGGAGCAGCTAGAAGCAGAAGCAGCACAGCTCATGGACGAAGTGGGCCCCTCGATCAGCCAGTTTATGTTGAAAGTTGCAATACTAAAGCAAGAGACATCGGTAGGTAATTGATGGTGAAAGTGTGGAATTTTTTGACCGCCATCCTACCTACCTAGGTAGGTAGGTAGCTGATAGTTTTGACATGAGGCTGGAGAGTCTTGTGATTCAGAACCTGAGGAAGTGAGAACCTAATACATAGGTGCCTGCCAGCCCGAGCTTCCATGAGCCGAGCGATTGCACTTGCCTTACTTTTGCTAGGTTCTTCCTCCCTCCCTCCCTGCCTGTCTGCCTCCCGACGCCCAGGGCAATAGTGGGGTTTAGGGAAGGTGCCAGCGGCTTCCCCAGTACAGTCACGGTGAGCAAGCAATGGATGGTTCCCGAGACGGCCGGGGCGGGTCCGGGTGAGCCTCCGTAGCCCCGGATCACAGGTACAAAATCAGACGGGAGTCTGAACATGCTGTATCATGAATATGTGGTTTTCCCCCGATGAGTCTTTTATCGAGTTCTTCCTGGCAAAGAAATCGCCCGGTATCCTAAGCGTCACGATAGAAACAACAGCTTGTACCTAGACTTCGAGTAAAAGCGTAAGCACCTCACTGCCCCTACAACTAACTTAACTCAAAGGGGACATTCATACAGTGTTATAGTTAATTACGAAACTGTGCTTGTTTATACAATCCAGCTCTTACTGCTCAGACTTTATACTGGGTTGACAACAGGAACAATCTGTCTTCTGCTTTATTATATACTACAGGTAGGCCATAGTCCAAGATAGACGCAGCAAAACATACAAGTGCTCTGCATCGAGCTGGGGGTTTTCATATATGCCGTTCTATGAACATAATCCCCACGTACATACTCTACAATGCTCTTCATTCTCACTTAGGTAGTCAGCACGTTTGTCCGTTCTAATCCTTCTATAACTAGACCATAATCTTGTGCTAATTCAGTTGGAATAATCGTTGGCTTTCATATCTTTTCAACACAAAATCCCTTCACCGGATGGCAGAAGATACTGTACCAGGGTCCAACAGGCCTAACTGACTCTGACCCTCGGTCAAGCTGTTGGCGCTAAATAAACTCGCATGGGTGAAACACTTTTCCGTATTCGGTAACTGCTCGTCTGGGGCATCTTTCTGCGTTGTATTATTTCTCTGTGCTATGATTTGTGACTGCATGTCCCCAATAATGCAACTCTATGATGGTAGGCTACCTAATTTGTCAACTTACACTGAACTAGACTAGGTATCGACAGAGTGGCTCCTACGGTTCAACTTCAAAAATTAGTTGTTCTTCCTCAATGTACCTGACATTCGCGAAATAACTGTCGCTCATGCGTTACATCAATTTCACGATCCATACTATTCTGTGTGTACACATGCCGTGATTTCATTAGGTAACGTCAATCCTTTCATAAAGCAATTCAAAACACCTTAAATATGGTCAACTAGCATTGTCATCACAAAGCAGACAATAGATCATCCAGCTTAAATCGCTACAAAGAAGCTCTTCTCCCCCTCTTGGGGTGTGACTCTTGCCTTGCGCATGATCTCGTCTTCACAAGCCAGTCTGATTCTCTCAGGCGTTGCTGGACTCTCAAGTCTTAGAAGACCCTCGCACTTGTCATCGCCGATCTTTGCTGCAACTCCATTCTGTGCTCGAGCTGCTTTGAGCGCATCTCGAATGGCAAAGAAGACAGAACTGCCCATGAAGAAGGGCGGTTCGCCTACGCCACGGCTTCTCTGGATCGTGCGCAGTTCTTTCCACTCCACATCTTTGAGGAGCGAAACGTTGAATGTCTGGGGGATATCTCGGAAACCAGGGATCTTGTATGCTCCAGGGCCTCGCGTGAAAAGGTGACCTGCCATTGGGCCGTTTCGCAACCACAGCGATTCTTCCATCGTGAAGAGACCGAGACCTTGGACAAAAGCACCCTGAATTTGTCCATAGTCAATTGCTGGGTTGATGGACTGGCCAACATCCATTTTGATGTCTGCACGAATGCACGTCCAGGTTCCAGTCAGCAAGTCAAGCTCGACCTCAGCCGCGGCAACTCCTTGCGTGAAGTAGAAGAACATTTTGCCCTTTCCAGTAGTCCAGTCATATCCGATCTCGGGTGTCTTATAGAAGCCCTGCGCCGAGAGATTCACACGGTCAAAGTAAGCGGCATGTGCTAGATCCTTCATCGTTGCTTCGGGACCCAACTTCTTTCGGTATGGTGCCAGTCTCTCGTTCAATTGTTCGCAGGCATTGAAGATAGCATATCCGTTCAAGTCTGAAGAAGCCGATGCGGCTGTCGCAGATGCGTTGGCCACCGTGTTTGTCGAAGTCTCTGAGATAAAGACATTGTCCAGTGGTACACTCAATGCCTGCGCAGCTATTTGAGTGAGCTTAGTATGCAAGCCTTGTCCCATCTCCGTACCACCATGGGCTACCAAAACAGACCCATCGTGATAGATGTGTACCAATGCTCCAGCCTGATTCAGAAACAAAGCGGTGAAAGAGATACCAAACTTGGTTGGAATCAGTGCCAAACCCCTCTTCCGCCACTTGTTGGTTTGGTTGAACTCAGTGACAAAGTGTCGGCGGGCGGTATACATAGCCTCATCTTGCACCTGTTTGTACATGAGTGGTACATGCCAGTCACCCAGACCTTGTCCAATATGCGTCGTACCATCGCTCTCGTACAGATTGATTTGTCGCAGCGTTTCGACCGGCATACCCAACCGGTCAGCCACCTCTTCCATGTACGACTCTGCGATGAACATGCCCTGAGGCCCACCAAATCCTCGGAAAGCCGTGTTCGACATGGTGTTTGTCTTGCATAGGCGTCCTCGGATGTGAACATTAGGGATGTCGTAGCACCCATCAATATGGGTCATGGCTCGTTCGCATACGGCTGCGCTGAGGTCGAAAGTCCATCCGGCATTGTTGAAGACGTCACACTCCAGAGCTTGGAGTTTGCCGTCCTTGTTCACACCGACCTTGTACTTTCCAAGAAAGGGATGTCGTTGACCACTGGTGACCATGTCTTCTTCTCGAGTCAGCATGTACCGGACTGGTCTCTTGGTTTTCTTTGCTGCGAGTGCTAATGCGGAGCTGAGCACTACTGATCGCGTTTCCTTTCCTCCAAAGCCACCACCTAATCTCTTTACGCGAACCACAACCTTGTTTGACTGCACATCGCATACTCGCGAAGCAAAAACTTGTCTATGGAAATGTCAGTACGTTACTTCCAATATTTGGACTAGACTTACGTTTCGTTGGCGTTCTGTGTGCTGGCAAAAATCTCCATTTCTCCATCCTCGGGCTTGGGAACAACCAGACAAGCGTTTGTCTCGAGGTAAAAGTGTTCTTGGCCACCCATCCTCACAGTTCCAGTAAATACATGGTCGCATTCCTTAAAGGCTTTCTCCACATCTCCTTTCTTGATCTCACGGAAGAAGTTGTGATAACTGTCGGCCGCAATGGCATCTTCAATCGAAAGCACTGTCGGCAGATCTTCGTACTCGATTTTGACTGCTCTTGCTGCCTCCTGAGCCCTCTGGGGAGAGGTTGCCAGAACCAGGGCAATTGGCTGTCCCACAGTCAGAACCTCACCCTCGGCAAAAAAGACTTCGTCAAAATTGGGAGCGCCGAATTTGTTGGCTTCTGGAGACGGCATGTCATCCTTGTCAACAACGTCCACTACTCCGGGTATGTCAAGAGCTGCGGAGTAGTCAACAGAGAGAAGCTTAGCATGCGCTCGTTTTGAAAGAACATAGCAGGCATGAAGCTCATTCTTCATGGGAGGAATATCGTCGGTATACTGCGCTTCACCTGTCGTTTGTTTGAGGGCAGCCAAATGGGGGTTGGCCTTTCCGGTCACTTCCTTCTCGTAAGCTACCGCAGCATGCTCGTCCACGTGGCCATTCGATAGATCCCGCTCAATCTCATCAATAGCTTCCTTATCAACCTGCTCGGAGCTCCCATCCAGTATTGTTAGGACGTCATGGTAAAATCGATAGAAGAATCCAAATGCCAAGGACTTTCGGTAAGATGCCATGCCACCCGGAACACTGAATTGCAAGTCGAAGTCACGACCAAGTGCACTCATTGTACCCTCTAGGGTTTCCAAATCAGCGAAGCGTCGCCCAACCAAGTATTCTGTGGCCGTCTTCGCAGCTACCGTCATGGCGGCCATGCCACCGTAGATAAGGTTTGCTTCTTGAACAACGCCATCATCATCTAGACGAACCCTTAAGGCTCCAGTAACAATAGCAATATCGTCGTCCTTTCGCTTAGCCTGCTTGTATGCTCTGAAGAATTCACCCTTGCCATGAGTGACCGGAATACGTATTGATGCAATGATCGCATCCTGAGCAAGTGCTGTCTTTCGGTAGCCGGTAAAGAACTGGGAGACGGGGATTTCGGTTTCTTTAGTTGATGACTTTGCCACCAACACAGCGTTGGCTGCCCATAATACAGGGTTGAGATCAGAAATTGGAGAGGCTGTAACTAGGTTTCCTGCTGGAGTACCAACATTTCGGATTTGTCGACCAGCAAAGTACTTGAGTTGCTTGAGCATCGCCTCAAATACCTGAGCGCGCTCACGTCCGTAATGCGGAATAGCATGTTCGCAGATGCTTTCCAAATCAGTTAAAACAACATTACCGCCAACCTCGAGGTGGTCTTCTTTGAAGCTGTACTGTCGTAACTCAGCAATATCGCCAACATAGACGGAAACAGGATACTCCAAAGCCTTGAACTTGGTTTCGATTTGGGTTTCCGTACTTCCACCGATGACCTTGGCCTGTGGATGGGCGGCCTTGATCTGCAAGAGCTGTTCAGTAGTGACAGGTCGATACCATCTGCGCCTTTTGTTACCAAAAGCTAGAGGTCTTAGTTCGTGTCTCTTCAAAGCTGGTGGAAAGATGAGCTCTGTATCGGGTTTATACTCGATGAAGCCTGGAGGTGTGAATCGCTTGATAGGTGCACCATCCAGATTCGCCTTGTCCATGCAGCAACCTCCGCTGGGTGGGCCATTACCATTCTCCATACAGCAACCTGTACCACCTGCTTTCTTAAACTTCGTACCGGGCTTATCAACGCTGAAAGTTTGAGCCGCATCCAGGATGGACCTATAGCCTGTACATCGGCACAGGTTACCATCGAACGCCTCTTCGATGTCATCTTTAGAAGGAGAGTTGTTATTCCGCAATAAAGCATACAGACTCATCACAATACCGGGAGTGCAAAAGCCACATTGGCTACCATTGGACTTGGCGATACGCTCCTGGGTAGGGTGGGGTTTCTGAGAGCTGCCAATGCCTTCAACGGTAACGACATGTTTACCGTCCAAACTGACAAGAGGAGCTAAACAGGCATTGACACTGGCATGATAGATCTGCTTAGTTGTCGGGTTATACTGGCTGACCACGATTGTACAAGCTCCGCAACCACCTTCGCCACAACCACTGGATTGAGTTGTTAGCATCATCGGGATAGGTTTTTGTCATCAGGGGCGAATTCTCACAGTTTTGTTCCTGTAAGTCCGATTCCTCGTAGATATTCTAAAACTGTGACTTCTGGATCTATTTCGTCCAAGACGACTTTGGTTCCATTGAGGTAGAATCGGAGTGTGTCGTCGAATTTGGAGGTTAGGGTGGCTAAAGGTTCAGGGTTTGTCTCCCTTACGGGCGATACAGCGCTAGGCGCCATGATTTCTTTGGTGGGGGTATTATGATAGAGGTCAATGTACAGTAGGTATGTATCTCTCGGGTGTATTGCAGGAGAGAGAAAGGGTCCAAGAGTCGGAATGGGAAAGAACAGAAATAATCCAAACAAGAGGCAAAGGCCCTTTTAAAGGTCTCTTATCAACAAACGAACCGAGGCGTTGTACAGTGGCACCTCAGGTTGTGCTGTAAGAGGGGGACGTCCACGAGACGTGGCCGGCACGGGTTAGCTAGCGGGTGTAAGACAACGTCCGCTTTGACAGGAGTAATCGGTCCTTGTGCAGCGGCACCTTCCTCTTCCTTAACAAGATGCTTTTTGATAGCAAACGCTAAACGAATGGGAAGCACGAATTGTGTTTGTTTAGGACGTGTCAACCTTCAACTAATCGCCACTGATAAGCCTAATCCAGATTTGCACCCCCGCGGCGGCTCAACAGCCAGTCACTGCCTGTGCGGGGAAAGAACAGGAGCAAGAAGCAAGGAGCCTCCTTCCCCACGATACATCTCGCTAACGGCCGGCTCCGCGCAGACGATAGGCCAGTTCCACGATCGGGATCCTCCACTTAGATATCGGAGTTGAGAGAGACTTGATAATTAGTAGGTAACAGATATTCAAATTCATGTATAGCGGTGAGTAAGTATTAAATATAAGACTACTTAAATACAAGCCTGTCTGCTTGATTTTATTCATCCCCCCTACACGTCGATTAGCTTATACGATGAAGATCTCTTAGTAGTTAAATCTGGGGAGTTTACCTAAACCCTCAAACGCGAACTAGACCTCGCAAAGGGACCTAAAACAGAATATGAATAAGGAGTGTAACGAACAGAACAAGAATACGAACAAGGATTGAAGTTAATGCGATCCAGTTTCCAGCTTGGCACGTAGTTCTAATGTTCGGCAACACACTCTCGGGATATCGAGAAGTGACAGAGGAGTGTGGAAACAATACGTATACTAGATAGCCCTGTTGCTGTACTATAGCATACTAGACAATATAATACTTTAAGATAACTGTAGGATTCCCTGTTAAGAGTTCAGACTGCCATGTGTGAAGAGTCTAGTAGACATGCAGATTACTTTGCTATATCTGAGTCTTTACCAGACGTGTCCGCCGTTAAGAATCAAGTATACTTATGTAGTCCAGTTTTATTTTTCCCCTTCTATCTTTCCTTTTCTTTCTAACTTTACTTATAAGAACTATTGGACATTCCGCTTTCGCTTGGGCCAAATAAGTTGTTATGCCTGGAGTCCGTCCGCCAACGTGCATTTCTGAGACACCGCCACAACATTCAAGGTAGGTACTATCATTATATACCTCCTCAACAGCGTATTCTTTCACATACGACCATACCTACCAGGGAACTCGGGATCCCGTCCGCTCTCCCATAGATAAGCTGGTAAGGGGCGGATTAGTAGTTGGGTCGGTGACGACCAGCGAATCCCCGCTGTTGTATGT